TCTTCAGCAAGTACGGCACGCCCAAGGGCTGATGGATGGGCTGGCTTTTGTTGTTTGTTTGATTGCAAGGCCGCCGCCGCATCTTTTGTTTGATTTGATCTTTGATTTGATTTGATTTTGTTTCACTTTTTAGCGGCAGGTTTGAAAAACTAACAAAATTTAAAAGAAAAAATGCATTTTTCTTGTTGACATTGAATTTCACATCTGATTTGACGCCAAAATGTCTTTCTTAATTGAAATTAATTAAAATTAGATGGAAATCAACACAAAAAGAAGCAAAAAACAAAACATGCGAGAACAAAACATGTAGAATCAATTTTTTCAAACCTGCCGCTAGATGGCACACACACAAAAACAACAAAAATTTACCAAGAATCAATCGTCGATTTGACCGGGCCAGGAATGGCCCAGCAATCTGAAGTTTTAGTATGTTAAACTAGAAGTCATTCTGCATAAAATGAGTTTTTGTTTAAAACCAAAAGACCTTGGAAACACTTATTAATCGGCCTCGGAAAATGGCTTGTTTTACATGTATTTGTGTGGAGAGGCAAAAACTCTTGTACGCCAGCGAACTAATCCGCCGTGGCGCCACCAGCTGCAAAGCCTTGTTGTCGTTGTCAATGTTCTCCTAACATGTTGTTTTGATTTGGAGTTTCGCTGTTCTGTTTTTTCTGGTCGCTTCTGCTTTTCTTTGACCATCAAAAGATTATCAGCAAATCATGTCCTACACTTCCTCCTCCTCCCCTCCCTCAACACCTGAACGCGTCTTTGAGACGCTGGAGGAGGTGAAGGGCGACGGCAGCAGCTGTTCGGTGATTCGCGACGAGCTGAAGTTCTGCATGCGCAACACCGACTGCGTGAAGGTGGCGCGGAAGACGCCGCGCGAATGTCTCCGCGCCAACGATCCCTCCGTGCCCGAGAAGTGCCACCGACTGGCGTACCTCTTCTTCGAGTGCAAGCGAAGCGTCCTCGACAATCGGGTCCGCTTCAGAGGGCGCAAGGGCTACCTCGACGGCACAGAGTAGGTAGATGTTGTTGTTCTTTTTGGTAAGTAGAACTGAGTGAGTACTTCACTACTTACTCTTTACTAACTTCCATTTTTCCCTTTCTCTTCAACACAGTGTTTCACAAAAGAAGCGGGCGCTCTCTTCTGTAAATAGTTCTGCCATAGTAATAAAGACGAGTGTCTGTGTACACTAATCAGTTTTGCAGGTATTTTAGGTGCCTTTATTATTATATCCTTTGCTGATGAAAGCTACGCTAATTTGCAATGTGCATAAAGCTTGGTGAGCAATTATGGCAGCTTTTTGTATGGGGAAACTCAGTTCCCGGAAACTGGGACAAACTTCAGAAGAACCCGTTGGGATTTTTGAGTCAAAACAAAACCCTGTGTTTTTCCAACCAAAACATTACCCAATACTGATGACGAACGAACTTCAGCAGCAGAAAAATCCCCCCCTCCCATTAGTGTGAACCTTCACCGCCAATGCTGAACGTTTACGTTTAATGTTACGCATCGTCAGAGACATTTTTGAAGCTTTTTTATTTGCTGAAACACTGGAAGAAAGATGGCTGTGTGGAAAGAATTCATGCAGTGGATGTGTGTTTGTGTGTAGATTTACGTTGTTGCAGTTGTTGTGGTTGTTTTGTTCAGCTGCTTTTGGAGCTTGTGATTCTGTGTGTTGGTTCGCGGAAGAAGAAGAAGAACTTGGAGGTAATAATAATTTAGAAAGCTCTAACAAAAAAATTGGTGAGTAAGTGGTGGTGTGTGTGTTTGCGTTGGTAGTGTGTGTTTCGAATGTGTGGACCATCAGGGGTTCGGGGAAAGGCATGTATGTGTTGGTTGGTTGTAGATTGTTAGTGATAAGTAATCGGGTGATGGTGATGATGATGACGAATCAATCGTCGACTGCATCGCCATCCATCCACTTGGGTGCAATGTGACATGTGATCATCTTTCACCACCACCATCAGCACCGCGCATCTTTACTTGTGCTTCTCAATCATCTCGCGCAGCTTCGACTCGCTGGCGCCGCTGAACGACTCGATCTTCTGCCCGTTCTTGAAGAAGATGAAGGTGGGCATCGAGCTGACGTTGTACTCGGCGGTCAGTTCCTGAAGATGAAAATGGTAATTAGAAACGCCGTTGAAATGTGAGAGCCGGTTGTGTCACCACCGGCAAGTGATGATCGAGGAAAAGAGCTGAATCACCGTCAAACACCTACCTCGTTCTCGTCGACGTCCACCTTGAGGATGACCACCTTGTCGTCGTCGGTGGAGATCTTCTCCAGGACGGGGGCGATCAGCTTGCAGGGGCCGCACCAGGTGGCGAAGAAGTCCACCACGACCAGCTTGCTGCCGGCGGCCGTCAGCTGGCTCTTGAAGTCATCCTAGAGAGTAGAAGAAGAAGAAGAAGAAAAATAGAACATTGGTTAGTCACATACCAAATCATGATCATCATCAACAAACAAACAACTCACTTGATCCTGGACCTTGTGGACCATTTTGTTGCAGGACGAGTGGCGGTGGTGGTTGCAGCAGCAGGGGAAACAGCAGGCGAAGAGGCAACTGACGGAGCGACTGACGGCGGAGTGACTGGCGTTCACGGCGGTTTCGGCGCTTGTACTTGTCTCCTCGTCGTGGGGCTTTGCAGTGGTAGAAGAGGCAGCAACTGCAGCAGCAGACATAGACTGCGGGAAAGGAAAAGTGATGGTGAGTGTGTGTGTGTGCCTCGGCTGTGACTGTGTTGTGCAGTGGTGCAGTGGTAGTGTGCAAGAGCAGTGCAAGCAAGTGAAAGTGAAAATGAAGGGGAGGGAATGGGAAAGGAAAAGGGGGAAAGCAGTGGTAGTGGTGGTGGTGAGCCGGCTGACGTCGACGTCACTTCAGCGTGCACCGGTTTTCATCGGCCTGGCCAATGGTGATGGTGATATCGTTGCTGATGCAGAGAAATGCGGCAACAGTCGAGAAGGAGAGAGAAAGATTGCGCCCCCCCCCTCTTGTGGACTTTACTCTCCCGCTGGAGGGTGATTCACCACCGCCGGTACGCTTCTAAATCGCCTTCGTGATGGGTGGTCACCACCGGTGGGCGCCATCGCACCTACCTGGCGCCCGGTGCCCGTTTCCACCCTGTCCAGTCATCGTTCTCATCGCTCGGCGACAGGCCGACGGCATCGAAATAGTCGAAAGGTGTTCTGTTTTTCTTCTTTTCATTTGCATTTTTGTTTGTTTGTTTCACCTTCAGCTTGGAGTTTGCCTCAAATGCAGTTTTTTCTTTTTGCTAAATGTAATGACTGATTTAACTGGTATTGTGCGCCGTCATGCTCCTGGTCGATATCATGCTATCATCGACGATCATGCATTTTAGTGGTAGAAGAGAGAGAGTTTGCACTCCATATGGTGGTAATAAGAACTGGCTGACTGGCAACGATCATGATGATGGTGATGATGGTAGTGAAGATGGAAGTGGTGGCAAATAGAAGAGCAAATAGCCGAGCCTGTCGGCCATGACAACCGCTTATCATCCCTTCCCCATCCCCATCCCCTCTCCACTGATACCCACTTGCTCCCCTTGAATTGATGGTGGTGGTGATGTCTTTCTCTGTCTAATCACCGAAGCTGAAGCCGCGCACATGCACAGAAGAGAGTGGTAGAGTACCGCCATCGTCGCCACCATCAATACATGCAGATAATGCTCGTCTACTTACTGCAGCCTTCGGTGGTGTTCCTTTGGCACAAATAAAGAAGGGGAAGATTGCTTCGAGGCTGTGTGTAAACTTGATCCAAATGATAGGGAGAAGGGTTCACCGTCTTCTTCCTCCCTAGATTGTCACAAAAGGATTCTGGAAAATATAAAGTGAAGTTTTCGATCCAGATGTTCAGCCAGTTCGACGCTCACAGGTCTTTTGCCAGCTGTTGGCTGTGTCTGGCGTCTCAGTGACAGCAGCCACGACGATGCAGCCACCAGAATTGCAGCCACTTCTTCTACTTCTCCTCCTAAGAAGTCTGTGCATTTTCATATTTTTGCCCATATTCTGCACTATATATAGAATCCCGGCACAGCAGGCGGCAGCGGCAGCTTCTTAGCAGCTCGTTCTGTGGTAGCACCAGAGAATCCTGGCTGCTGGAAGCATGCGTGAAAGAAGTGTCCGTGTGCTATATACCCGACATGAGAATACACCGCAGAATCCGGCGAGCACGTTTTCCGGGCCGCCGCTGCCGATTCTCTGCCTTTTTCCGCGAAAGCGTTTGCCTGAAAACGGCCTGAAGACGCCTTCTTTGTTTGGGAAGATTCCGGGCGCTGTTTGAACCCTTCCAAAAGTGAAGTCATGTCGGTAAGTGAAGTTGTGATTTGCTGCTGATTAAGATGGTGATTGCTGATTGACACTTTCTAATACTGTTCTGTTTCAGACTGAAGCGGCCGCCGCCGGCGCCTGCACCATCAGGACGCGCAAGTTTCTCACCAACCGACTTCTATTTCGCCGGCAGATGGTAAGGATGATAAAATTGTGGACATATTCATTGTTTACTGATCAGGATTCCTTTTCACCAGATCGTCGACATCCTCCACGGCAACCGCCCCACTGTTTCAAAGACCGAGGTCCGAGAGAAGGTCGCCCGCATGTACAAGACCACGCCAGATCTGGTCTTCGTCTTTGGCTTTCGCACCGCCTTTGGCGGCGGCAGCACCTCCGGCTTCGCCCTCATCTACGACACGCTGGAGTACGCGAAGAAGTTTGAGCCCAAGCACCGGCTGGTTCGAAATGGCCTGCTGACGCGGGCGAAGGGCGCCCGCAAGCAGCGCAAGGAGCGGAAGAATCGCATGAAGAAGGTCCGCGGCACCGCCAAGACCAAGGTGGGCGCCGGCTCGGGCAAGCAGAAGGTAATTGTGTTTGTTAGAGGTTTTGGGAATGTGTTTGTTAATTTTTTCTAAACTCCCTTTTTTCTACTTTTTTTTGCAGAAAAAGTAACAACTGTAGAGAATAACGTTTGCATTTTGTGTTTTGGTTTGCTCCTGTTCCTTCAAATCCTGGTCACCTTTCCCTTCTTTAAAACAATGAAAAGCAATAAAAGAAAACTGCAGCTCTCCTGATTTTAATGTTGAAAATTGTTGGAACTTTTTGGTTATTCTGTAACTCTCACATCTACAACCTGTTTCATTCAATAACCGTGCAAACTCTGCTGATTCTGCTGCTGATTCTGCACCGCTTAATTAGCGTCAGTGAATTTAATTAGTCTAGTCAGGTGCACCTTTGCACTAATTTACACAGTTCTTGCTTGGCTATTTTTAATTTCCCATCAGCGAAGCACAAACAGTCTTTGAAAATATGAGTGTACCTAGGTGGATAGTCTACAAAATTAGATGATTACTGTGATTACCATTCTCTTTAATTCTCTTATTTTCTTTCTCACTGTTGACACTGACCACCACCACCACCACCGGTGTTCATCTTTATTTAGCGCCTCTTTTAATTTTTTTCTTCTCTCTGTCATTACTAGACAATTTGGTTGTTGTTTGTTTGCTTTTTGCAATCATATCAAGAAAAAAAGCCAAGTCAACACCAAGTCTACTTTTGCTGAGCTTTTTGGAAGATATTGTAAAAAATGGCTCAAAATTGAAAAGCTGCTGCTGCTGCTGTGTCTGTTTCCGCATTGACCGCTAGTTACCAGGGATTTAAGTTGCTGCTGCTGCAGTATTTGAATTGCCATTTTTTCTATTGACTCAAAGAGGCAAGCGAGTTAGCATTAGGAGGCAGGCGTATTATCAATAAATAAATACAACCAAGCACACTCTTACTACTGTATTGTAACTGGGAAACTATCACTCGAATGATCAGAGGAGAAAGGAAGAAGGAAAAGAGCAAGAAAATCAAACAAGAAAGCAGAGAGTACTTCTCCCTCATTTTCTCGCTCCTCTTTTTCCGAGTAACGGTGCAATAAAATGACAAGCAAATAACAGGACCCTCTTCTCTTCTCAGAGAGCAATCTGTCTTGGAGAGAGAGAGAGAGAGAGNGAGAGAGAGAGAGAGAGAGAGAGAGAGAGAGAGAGCTCCTTGGCCGCTTTATGGCTTTGCCATCGATTTTTATCTTTTAATTGAATTGGCCCATCTGTCTGTGTGTGTTATATTACCCGCAAACACACACTCACTGGAGTCATAACTTTTAATTAAAGTCCCGGCGAAAACACACACACAAACGATTGAAGTGGCGGCAGCAGCGGCGTAAATATCAAGTGTTGTTCGATTTAGAACAGCGGCGGCCAGTGCTGATGAATCTTTGATGATCGCCCTGTATTCTTTCCTATTCCAGGTACTGCTGCTCTTGTTTGGCCTCTCTCTTGTTGACACCGTAATTGTTGGAAGCCCTTTCTCTCTTTCTCCTCTGCAATTCAGCCTGTCAGTTAGCGAGCCGTTTTTGTTTCGGTTGTGTTTACCTGTCCAGTCCGGACCGTCCGTCCGTCGGTCAGTGAGCGGTAATTGCTGATAACCTTCCAGAGAAAGAGAGAGGAAAAAGAGGGCTTTTATGGCACTGTACTGACTGCTGCTGCTGGGGGATTCATGACGTTATCATTCATTGTACGGCGGTCGGTTGTGTTGTTCTACATTGTGTCGACGGCTGGTGAAATCGTGATGATCCTATCCTTTGCTTTCACATTTGCCCCCCCCCCCATTTCCTTCACGTCAAATGCTTTTTTGTGGGTGCACTTTTTGAAGACATTTTCGGGTTTTCTCGGTGTTTGAGTTGAACTGGACTGAAGCGACTGTGTGTTTCTCTTTTCGGAATTTCAATAAACTGTTTTGCTTTCCTTTCTCT